CGCCGGCCATCATGTTAATACCATGAAAGCCCATGATATGTGACACTGATTGCACTGATACCAAGAAAACACACACAGCTGAGAACACACATTAGACAACATGCAACCAATTCTCTTTGTTATACTGTACCGAGCACCTGGCCCGTATTCTGAATTCTTATCTGAATTTGCAGAGTTTTTGTCAACTTTAGTCCTTAAAACGGACAAAGTTATTATTGTAGGGGATTTTAATATTCATGTGGACATTGAGAATGACAGCTTCAGTACTGCGTTTATCTCTTTGTTAGATTCCATTGGCTTCTCTCAGAGTGTTCATGAACCGACTCACTGTTTTAGCCACACCCTCGACCTTGTTTTGGTGTATGGTATTGAAATTGAACATTTAGTGGTGTTCCCACAGAATCCCTCTTTATCTGACCACTGTTTGATAACTTTTGAGTTTGTATTGCTGAACTACACGCCATTGGGCAAAAATTTCTAGACAAGATGTCTGTCTGATAGTGCTGTAGCTAAATTTAAGGATGCGATTCCATCAGCTCTAAATACATTATCTAGTCACAAAGTAATGGAGGACTCCTATGCTAATTTCAGTCGCTCCCAAATCGATCATCTTGTTGATAGTGCTGCAGGCTCGCTGCGAATGACACTCGACTCTGTAGCCCCTCTAAAAAAGAAAATACTAAAACAAAGACGGTTAGCTCCATGGTATAATACTGAAACTCGCAAATTAAAGCAAATATCGCGGAAACTTGAGAGGAATTGGCGTTCCACCAAAGTGGAAAATTCTCGTTTAATTTGGCAAGATAGGCTTAAAACTCATAGGAAGGCCCTCCGTAATGCCAGAGCAGCGTACTACTCGTCATTAATAGAGGAAAATAGGAACAACCCCAAGTTTCTTTTCAGCACTGTAGCCAGGCTGACAGAGAGTCACAGCTCTATTGAGCCAAGTATTCCCATAGCTCTCAGTAGTTACGACTTCATGAGCTTCTTTAATGATAAAATTCTAACTATTAGAGACAAAATTGGCACCGACTTATCTCTTAACTCACGAACCTTAGAAACAGCTGTAGAACCAGATACATGTTTAGACTGTTTTGCTTCACTCAATCTTTACCAGCTAACTTCAATAATTTCTTCATCTAAACCATCAACCTGCCTCTTAGACCCCATCCCGACTAGGTTGCTTAAAGATGTTTTACCCTTAGTCAGCACTTCTATACTAGATATGATCAATCTATCTCTATCAACAGGCTATGTACCACAGTACTTTAAAGTAGCTGTAATTAAACCTCTTCTGAAAAAGCCCAAACTTGATCCAGATGTTTTAGCCAACTATAGACCTATATCTAACCTTCCATTTCTCTCTAAGGTTCTGGAGAAAGCAGTTGCTAAACAGCTGTGTGACTTTCTACAGAGCAATAGTTTATTTGAGGATTTTCAGTCAGGATTTAGAGCTCATCATAGCACAGAGACAGCACTGGTGAAAATTACTAACGACCTCCTTATTGCATCAGACAAAGGACTTGTCTCTGTACTGGTTTTATTAGATCTTAGTGCTGCATTTGATACCATTGACCATCAGATCCTATTGCAGAGACTGGAACATTTCATTGGCATTAAAGGAACCGCTCTAAGCTGGTTTAAGTCCTATTTATCAGATCAATTTCAGTTTCTACATGTTAACGATGAGTCCTCCATGCATGCCAAAGTTAGTCATGGAGTTCCTCAAGGATCTGTCCTCGGACCAATCCTCTTCACTTTATATATGCTTCCCTTAGGCAATATTATCAGGAAACATTCCATAAACTTTCATTGTTATGCAGATGATACTCAGTTATATCTATCGATCAAGCCAGATGAAACTCATCAGTTAGCCAAACTTCAAATGTGCCTTCAGGATGTTAAAACCTGGATGACCTGTAATTTTCTAATGTTAAACTCAGATAAAACTGAAGTTATTTCTCTGGGGCCTAAGCACCTCCGTGACGCATTATCTAAAGATATAGTTTCCCTAGATGGCATCGCCCTGGCCTCCAGCACCACTGTGAGGAATCTTGGAGTTATCTTTGATCAGGACATGTCGTTTGAGTCTCACATTAAGCAAATTTCAAGGACCGCCTTTTTCCACCTATGTAATATTTCGAAAATCAGGAACATCCTGTCTAAAAATGATGCAGAAAAACTAGTCCATGCATTTGTTACTTCTAGGCTGGATTACTGCAATTCCTTATTATCAGGCTGCTCGAAAAAGTCCATTAAGACTCTTCAGCTGATCCAGAATGCTGCAGCACGTGTTCTGACAGGAACCAGGAAAAGAGATCATATTTCTCCTGTCTTAGCTTCTTTGCATTGGCTTTCAGTAAAATCCAGAATAGAATTTAAAATCATTCTTCTTACCTACAAAGCTCTTAATGGTCAGGCACCATCTTATCTTAAAGAGCTCATAGTACCTTACTACCCCACCAGAGCACTGCGCTCCCAGAATGCAGGGTTACTTGTGGTTCCTAGAGTCTCCAAAAGTAGACTAGGAGCCAGAGCATTCAGCTATCAAGCTCCTCTCCTGTGGAACCAGGTTCCAGTTTGGGTTCAGGAGGCAGACACCATCTCCACATTTAAGAATAGGCTTAAGACTTTCCTCTTTGATAAAGCTTATAGTTAGGGCTGGCTCAGGTTAGTCCTGAACCATCCCTTAGTTATGCTGCTATAGGCCTAGACTGCCGGGGGATTTCCCATGATGCACTGAGCTCCTCTCTCCTCTACTTTCTCTCCCTCTGTATGCAACCTCATCCCATTATTGCATGTTACTAACACAACTTCTCCCCTTTCCGGTAGTCTTGTGCTTTCTCGTCCCTCTCCTCTCTCCTATCACTTCCTGCAGGTTTTCTGGCTCTGGAGCTGTGGAGTCTGGATCTGTGGTTGCGGGTCACCTGCTGCCCCCGTGTTCCTGCTCGACACCCTCTGCTGCAACGACTATTGTTACTAGTCCTATTGTTATTATAATCATTAACATTTTTGGGTTTTGGTTGTTTATTGATTCCACTTTGTAGTGTTTCACTCCCTGCCTCTGTGTTCTGGTTCCTGGTCTTATTGTTTTTTCAGTTGTTTATTTGCTTCTGTATTTTATTTCACTCTTGTGCGTCTTTGTGATTTTCAATTCCTGGTTTATTTTGCAGTTGTCTTTGTTTCCTGTTCAGTCTTATTAGTCTTACGTGTCTCACCTGTGTTTAATTATCCTGCCCCCTCTGTTGCTTTCAAAAGGTTTGCTTGTTCCCTTTCTTCTTGTTGGATCATTGCAGCTCGTTGTGCTCTGTCTCCTCTGTTTAGTATGTTCCTGCCCGTGACCGTGTCTGTTTTTGGATCTTGGTTTGCGTTTTGCCCTCTCTGGATTTTTGTTTAGACTCAGCCACTCCCACTTAGTGTGCTCACATTAGTTGTATAAATCTAAAGACTGAACCTGCTTATTGGAATGGACCCAGCAGATACCTATTCTGATGACTTTGTGGACATGTTGTCTGACTTTTTTGTACTGTTGAGCAAATGAAAGGGGGTCAGTAGTCAAAGGTATAAGGAAGTCATCAGTTCTAGGGCTCAGGGAGTGTTGCTAGCGTAGCCATGGCTGAAAAACTTTGTACCAGGCTGGCATGCTGGCTTCATCCACACACCTGCTACTTAATCTGCCCGAGTCCATTTGGTGGTCCAACTGACACTTGTCCCTGGTTCTTCGTCAGTGGTCCGACCGACCCTTGCTCCCAGGTTCCAGTTGATGGTTCGACTGACCGAGGTCAGTAATAAGGCAGCTGCAGCCGAGCTAGGAACTGGCAACTGGATAACCAGGCTTGGTACTGGCAACAGAGAAGCCGGGCTTGGAACCGCCAACAGGGCAGTCGGGCTTGGAACCGCCAACAGGAAAATCGGGCTTGGAACCGCCAACAGGACAGCCGGGCTTGGTACTGGCAACTGGGCAGCGGGCTGAGTAGGGCAACAGGGAAGCTGGTAACTGTTGCCCTACTCAGCCTGGCTGCCCAGTTGCCAGTACCAAGCCCGGTTGTCCTACTGACGGTTCCAAGCCTAGCTTGGCCAGTTCCTAGCCAGCTGCATTATTCCTGACCTCGTCGCCGGCCTCCTTCTGGGCCTCTAGAGGAACCTCGTCTTTGTCATCAGCATTGTTTTGTCAGTTGTTCATTTGTTTCTGTGCCGTTTTATTTTGTTAAGGTCTCATTGGTTTCATCTCATGAAGCTCTAAACATCTACTCACTACAGTTGAGTACAGCTCCGACTGCTTTTACATCCTCTTTATGATGCACAGCTGAACTAACAGAGGAGCACAGGCTGCTTTACAATCTGAATAAACTCCCCTCTTCAGGATGAGTTTGTGTGCACTGAACAGAGACTAGACAGTTATTTAGGCAAACATACGAATCACATCGGACATCCTGCTACATCCTGGTTGTTAAAAATATCTACACACACAGAGTCGTCTGTTTCAGCCTCAATCTTACCGACCACAATGCCACAGGGAATGGAGAGAACATGATCCCTGCAGGAACGTAATGAAACTGACTCTATTGTCTGTCTCTGGATCTGCTTTTGGATTCTCCTTAACTTTATCAACAGCAGCTGCACTTTACAGAATGTTAGCTAGCAGCAGTTCTCCATTTGCGACTTTTAATTTACTACAGTCCCTCCCTCGCCCCTGACCCTGACCCTGACCTAACTACCACAACTACATGATGTAAAGCTAATGCTAACCTAATGCTAACCGTAACCCTCATTTATTTATTAAAATGCACCCTGGGAGTCGTAGTTGACTCTCCTTCAGTTTTTATTTCCACAGCTGACTTTTTATCAAAGAACCAGATATTTTCTGACACAGTTGTACATCTTTTGTTGTGAGTGTTTCATGCTGATCCAAACTTTAAAGAGCTCTGGGAGTCATAAACATTGTAAAATTAATGGGACTCTCACTGCAGGAGTCTGAAATAACTCGCCCCACTCTGTAGGTGCAGAGTTGGTGATCCAGTATAAGGGCAAAACATGGTACGAGTAGGAGAACGCCACCTGGCCCAGCTGGCCCAGACGTGCGACCCATGTGATCATACTCAATGTGTGCAGAACTCTGTCCTCAACGGGACGATATTGTGTTTCCCCAGTTTGTCCAACTCCACTCCTGTCCTGCAACACCAGGTGAGTCCCCACAACATGCTGGCGTGTCAGGTTTGGGTGCCAACAATGTTATGTAATGCAAATGTACACACACTTAAGGACATAGGTTTCCATCTGTTCAGCCAATTGCTTTATTGGTGTGGAACAGCAGATGTTCTTTATTAACCTTTTGATTATAAATACGAGAGAGAGACATCAGGGACATCAGAGCGTTCAGACACACCGACATCTGGATTTCATCAACTCACTTCAGCAGAAATCTGACAATGAAGGTAAGTTTTTAACTTTAACTTTAGCTCTCTGTCTAAATGTTTATCAGCAGTTTGAACAGAATAACAGATAAAGTAAGATTATTTAAAATACAAAAGGTTTAAATAGTTTATTTTATCTGCTTACAGCAACACGTAAACACTTTTTTAAATAATGAAAGGTAAACCTTCAGCACCAACCACAGCAGGGTCTCCCTGCTCTGCTGCAGAGGCCATTCCTCAGAAAATCTTTAAAATCTACATTAAAAAAACTAAATAACCTGTCTGTTCCAGCTGGTATCAGTCGTCTTCCTCCTCCTGGCTCCTCTGTTGAGCAGCTGCAAGCCCCTCGTCCTCCCACTGGACTGCAGTGACATCTATAACCATGATCGCAGTCGACCCAGTGGAGTGTACACCATCTATCCCATCGGAGCCACCTCTGCTGTCCAGGTACACTTCATCCTCTCTGGGACATTAAAGAGATAAAAGTGTATGACTTTCAATAGAGTTAGTAACTTGCAGTAATGGGATGCATCACCAGTAGTACTACTACAGGTTTATATATTTAATATTCCCAGGTGGATAAACTGACTAATGTGTGTGTGTGTCTGTGTGTAGGTGTACTGTGACATGGACTCACTAGGAGGACGGTGGATGGTGAGTATTTTAACTCAAGTACCAAATCTGGCTCAGCAGTTCTCAAATCCAGGACCTGTTCAGATTGATCAGAGGCCTCCCATGAACTCTACCAAGCTAGCTCTGCTGTTACACAATCAATGATCAGTGCACAACTTCCTTCAGTCGGTACGCCTTGTTAACCAAAGATATTGATGGAATGTAGGGGAATACATTTGAAGCAGCAACCAGTTGAGACCAGGAACGAGACAGGAGAACTGACCTGATGCACAAAGTGGTTTGTACTAAAGCCAGCTGTTTAAGACACAGACTACTCAGAGACTGCTCACTACAGGTGTGATGATCATTTTAAAGAGTCTATGTGCATCAATAAACCCTGTGTTCACAGACAGGATTCTGACTTTCATTAAAGAACTTAAAGCAGACCACATTTTCCTCCACAGGAATTAGCTTAACACAACAGGACATAACCTCTAAAGTGGCAGAGGTCTACTGAGGCAGCTTTAGCAGTGGGACAGTTGTTGTCTGTTAGCTAAACCATGCTAGTCGGGTTAGCCAATGTACGTATATGTTAAATGCAAATAAGAAATCAGAGCTGACAGAGTCTCACGTGTTATTCACATCTACTGTTTAGGAGTGCTCTAGTTTTCCAGTAAGTTCCTGAAAAACCAGACAAAGAGTGGCGGATCACCACCCAACAAGTGGTTTGTACTAAAGCCAGCTGTTTAAGACAGAGACTGCTCAGTCTCACTCTGACTCTAAAGTGCCAGAGGTCCAGACATTATCAGTGTGTCTGTTGTTCCTGACCCGGATAGACGAAGCCAGCAGCTGGTTTATGTGATGTACTTCCTGAATGAAGGCTTACCACTGGTTCAAACCTTTGTGCCTGGAAACATGATTCCTGTCAGGTATCTGGTGTGTTTAGCTAGTTTTCCCTCCATCCCGTCCCCCCCAGGTGTTCCAGAGGAGGATGGACAGCACCGTGAACTTCTACAGGGGCTGGGATCAGTACAAGATGGGCTTTGGTATCGCTGCTGGAGAGTACTGGCTCGGTGAGAAACCAAACCTAACTAACTAAAAATGTGACTTTGTGAAACTCACTGTTCATAACGTTCAAACATCAAACTGAAGTTTGCAGGTGTAAGGATCCAGTCAGCTCATGGTTTAGTACAGTACATGATGTTGATGGTTAAAAACTCCACCTCATGAGTTTTTATGTGTTTGTGTTCAGGTCTTGAGACTCTCTTCCACCTGACTCTGAGGAAGAAGTACGAGTTGCTGGTCGACATGGAGGACTTCAGTGGAAACAAAGCGTTCGCTCGTTACTCCTCGTTCTCCATCGACCCAGAGTCCTACGGATACAGACTGCATGTATCTGGATTCAGTAATGGAGGGGCAGGTGAGGAAGCAGCAGAAGTTGTTTTGTGTTTTTCTGAGTTTCCACAAGAAGGTGATTTTCCCTAAAGTCTCTCTGAAGGACTGGCCTTATACTGGATTATTTGGGCGGTCCTTATGCTAATGACTGATGCAGAGCTGCACCAATCAGTGGTCTGCTTCTGTTTCATGAATCACATTCAGGTGTCTGTACCCCAGAGACTCTCTGCAGTCCATTTATCTGGACTCACTTTAGGTTGTTATGTTTCAGTAACAGAAGTACAGATAGTATCTGTAGGAGTCGTAGCTGAGATAAATACCAGTACCCGTCATCGACACCACCTGTCAGGTTTGAACTGATTATAAACTGGAAATAATTTATATATTAATGTTGATTTTTTAATATAACAATGGTTTGATTCAAATACAAAAAACTCATTATTAATTCAATATTTTATTAAATCATCCTGATAAAGTGACACATAAAGCACATTGATGATAAAAGTGGCATTTTAAAAAATGTCTCTAAAAATGGTTCGGACATGGATTTATTTCATTACTGAGAAATAATCAGTCCGGATATTATGATTATGATTAAAATGTCGGTGACCTCTGGTGTCTGTGGATGAGTTTGTAAAATATAAGATTTTCCTACATTTCATCCAGGTGAAACACTGAGTCGATCATAAACGACCTGCTGGTGACTTCAGCTGTCTGGACCATAACTGGTCTCATCAGTCTGTCTGATAGAAGACTGCAGGCTGTGAAAAGTTCAGCTGATACTTATAGATAATGCAAATTTACTAACCCTGTGGTTCTTCTGTATGTCTGTAGGAGACTCATTGAGTATTCACAACGGACAGAAGTTCTCCACCTTTGACAAAGACCAGGACTCCTCCTCTAGCAACTGTGCCAGATCATACCTGGGGGCGTTCTGGTACAACAACTGTCACCATACAAACCCCAACGGGGTTTATCGTTGGGGGGCTGACAAGACCATCTTTGCTGTTGGAGTGGAGTGGTACCATTGGAAGGGTTATGACTACTCCCTGAAGGCCATCAGCATGAAGATCCGTCCTGTGCAGTAGTTCTCCAGGACCAACGTACAGCAGAATATCAGCAGCTGATCTCTCTCTCATTTCTTTCTCTTCTCTCATTAAGCATGTAATCTCACAACGGGCCTTATTTTCCTGAAACTGGGCACGAGCACAATCCACCAGCAGCAGAACACCAACTCAGATTAGTCCTTTTTGTTACCATCTGTGTGTGTGAGCAGCTGCTGGCTGGAAAGTCTTCAGTCAAACAGCTGTTGGTGTAGAGAAATGAGTCTCTGCTGGTTCAGATGTTACCTTCAGTCTGCTGGCTGCAACTAAACACACTCAGCTTTAAAGTCAAACTCACTAGTTTCAACACAACATTTGGTGGAGGTTTGAAACCCTAATGTGAATCATTATCTGCTGTACGCTGACAATAAATGAGAAGCTGAGCATGAAGCTGATCTGATGTCTTCACTGTGTCTCCTGTGTCTCTGTCTGGATTCTCTCTGGTCAGAAGTTTGAAGCAAACTGCTCCTCCAGCAGCAGTTTCTCAAATCCTGTAGTGCAACTTAAAGGTAAAATTCTATTAAATGCTACAGACTTGCTCAGCATCCCAATCTTTACAAGTTTACTGCATTTCGTTACCATTCACTGGTCCTGGTCAGGCGGCTTGCCCGACTCTGGTTCTGGTGCCCATACCCATACCATATATTAGTAGTACTTTCATTTCCAGTACAGGTGCTGGTCATATAATTAGAATATCATCAAAAAGTTTATTTATTTCAGTTATTCCATTCAAAAAGTGAAACTTGGATATTATATTCATTCATTACACACAGACTGATATATTTCAAATGTTTATTTAATTTAATTGTGAATTACTGCAGCAATGCGGCGTGGCATGGAGTCCATCAGTCTGTGGCACTGCTCAGGTGTTATGAGAGCCCAGGTTGCTCTGATAGTGGCCTTCAGCTCTTCTGCATTGTTGGGTCTGGCGTATCGCATCTTCCTCTTCACAATACCCCATAGATTTTCTATAGGGTTGAGGTCAGGCCAGTTTGCTGGCCAATTAAGAACAGGGATACCATGGTCCTTAAACCAGGAACTGGCAGCTTTGGCACTGTGTGCAGGTGCCAAGTCCTGTTGGAAAATGAAATCTGCATCTGCATCTCCATCTCAACGTGGATTCTGTGCCTCTCCTCTCTTCCTCCAGACTCTGGGACCTTGATTTCCAAAGGAAATGCAAAATTTACTTTCATCAGAGAACATAACTATGGACCACTCAGCAGCAGTCCAGTCCTTTTTGTCTTTAGCCCAGGCGAGACGCTTCTGACGCTGTGTCTTGTTCAAGAGTGGCTTGACACAAGGAATGCGACAGCTGAAACCCGTGTCTTATTATGGGGTTGATCCGCTTTATAGCTTTGATGGGTGCAAGAATAGGATACGACCCCCACATCATATAGACATGTTTTCTAGCGATCCATCGTTAATGTGTTGTGTAGGATTTCTGCGAAGTTTCTCATGGAGGGAGAGAGTAATGCGCCCATCAAGCTGTTAAAAGCAGGCGTCTGACGGCTTACGCTGAAAGAGCAATTGTAGAAAACATCCGACTGTTCAATGTAAGGCGCTATAGTCTATAGTTTATACGGCTCTAAGTCGACGTAGACATCAAACGCCAGAGTTAATGACATGAGGCAGACGTCCTGTAGGCATAGGTGTGATGCATACATATGAGATAGCTGCCTCCTTCTGTCATGTGTAACATCGGATTTAGACAAAATGTTTTTATCTCATCCCACAGGGATATATATATATAGGATGTAATATGTCCTGACACCATTTGAACACATGACATTTGTCTGTATATCATTGCAGGTATTCGTCGTTTTAGATCAATATACCGTGAGTTTATTTAAAAATAAGTTTGATCTTCATGTAGACACATGTGTAATTATTATTATATTATAGGATGTAACACATCCTTCTGAAATCAGATGAATATTATCTATCCTTTTTTAAAGATTTGCTTGGTGACATAATCCTATGGTGACATGTCTTGACTAGTCAGCACTTCCTGTGTAATGTTTTTTCACAACATTTAGCCTATATAAAAGGGCTGAGATTGAACAGATCTATTTCTTATAAATGTTGATAAATAAAATTCAGTATATTAGGACATATGGGTCTATGTAAATTTAGTGCACTGTTTATATATAGTCTATCATACTAATTCTAAGGACTCACCTTTTCCCCCCTTCCCCCCCCATTCGCATCAGGGGATGTCTCGATGCGAATGGGGGTTTAAGATCGTAAAATGTCATAAATAAGGCATATGTGTTTTTGGGGTATAAGTTGGGGACAAAGGCACATGACGGTAGATATTTTTAAAATTGTATTCATGTATAATGGTATACCCTATTGAGTAGTGCCTTGAACATGTGGGTAGGCAACCTATATGATTAATTTGTAAACCACTCAGGTCCCTTTGTCATGAGTTGTAGTTTTTGCCATTTGGAACCTGCTTCGCCGGTGGCCCAGCCGACTCCTGTACCCTCGTCGGTGGTCCGACCGGCACCTGCTTCGCCAGTGGCCCAGCCGACTCCTGTACCCTCGTCGGTGGTCCGACCGGCACCTGCTTCGCCGGTGGCCCAGCCGACTCCTGTTCCCTCGTCGGTGGTCCGACCAACACCAGCTTCGCCGGTGGCCCAGCTGACTCCTGTGCCCTCGTTGGTGGTCCGACCGGCACCTGCTTCGCCGGTGGCCCAGCCGATTCCTGTTCCTAGTGCTCCGTCGGTGGACCTACCGGCATCAGCTCCGTTGGTGGCCCAACCGACTCCAGCTCCTCGTGTCTGGTCCATGGTCCTCAGCCCAGTTGTCTCGTCGGTGGTCAGACCGACTCCAGCTCCTCGTGTCCGGTCCATGGTCCTCAGCCCAGCTGTCTCGTCGGTGGTCCCACCAACACCATCTCCGTTGGTGGTCCAGCCGATTCCTGTTCCTAGTGCTCAGTCAGTGGGCAGACCGACTCCAGCTCCTCGTGTCCAGTCCATGGTCCCCAGCCCAGCTGTCCAGTCGGTGGTCAGACCGACTCCAGCACCTCGTGTCTCGCCCGTGGCCCTCAGCCCAGCAGCTCAGTCCGTGGTCCTCAGCTGTGCTCTGCCACCGGAGATCCCAGGCTCCCTACGCCGGTCCCCGGCCCGACCTTTGGAGAAGCCTCGCCTTCTTCGGCCTCTGGTGGGTCCCTTCCATCATCTGCAACCCCTGCTGAGACCTTTGGAGAGATCTCGCCTTCATCGCCGGCCTCCTGCTCAGTCTCCGGAGCGATCTCTTCTTCGCTGCCAACCTCCAGGGAGGATTAGTTCCTGTCTATGGCCCCTGCCCGGCCTCCAGAGAGGTCTCGCCTACGCCACCGGCCTTCAGGGAGGATTCGCCACCTTTGTCGGTCCCCCGCTTGGCCTCCAGTGGGTTTCCAGCCTCTTTGTTGGCCTTCCTGCCGTCCCCCTGAACAGTCCGGCCTCCAGGGCCGTACTCCGGGATGGCCACCTGAACTCTGTGGACCCTCTGGTCCTCCCGCCCAGTTGGGTCGTCCTCCCGACCTCCTGAACGTTGTTGCCTCCCTGTTCTGCCGGCCTGTTGGGTCGTCCTCCGGGACGGCCTCTGAACTCTGTTCTCCCCTGATTTGCCGGCCTCATGGGTCACCCTCCGGGACGACCCCTGAACTCTGTTGCCCACCTGGTCTGTTGGGTTATCCTCCAGGACGACCCACTGAACTTTTTTTCCCCTCTGGACGCCTCGGTCAGCCTCCTGAACTGCCTTGCCCTGCCTGTTTGACCTCCCCCCTGTACTCTGGTCCCCTTCTGTCTGCTGCTGTCTGCAGTTTTTTGTTTTTTCTGGCCCTCCTCCTGTCCTCCCTCCGCCCACCCTGGTTTGGCTCTTGCCCTCCTCCGGTCCTCCCTCTGCCCACCCGGGGGCTGCATGGACACTTTGTTTTGGGATTGTTTGGTTCTTGCTTTGAAGGAACGTCTGGGATCCGTTCCTTGAGAGGGGGGTACTGTCATGAGTTGTAGTTTTTGCCATTTGTTTCTGGTGTCCTTCTGTTTACCTGTTCTTCTTGTTTCCTTGTCCTTAGTGTTTATGTCTTGTCTGGTGTTCTAGCTTCTAGTCCTGTGTTGTTTTGATATTGCTTTGGTTTGGTAGTCTATTTTATATTGTTCTTAATCACTGCCTTAACTCTTGTTCCTGCGTTTTAGTTCTTTGTCCTTGTTCCCAGTCCTGTACCTTAGTTCATGTTAAGTGTTCACTCTGGTCTGTTTTGTGTTCAGTAACCTGTGTTCCGTCTGTTCCCCCGGTTGTCACTCTGCCTGCATGTCAGTCTCTCTATTTCCCTCTGCTCACTGTCTCTCTCTGTCTGCCTCGTTAATCTCATGTCCTTCACCTGTGTTGCTCCCGCCCTGCTCGTTAGTCCCTGTGTGTTTGTGTATATAGATGCCTGGTGTTTCTGTCTTGTCTTGGTCGGGTCATGTATGCTGTCTCCTGGAGTTGCTGTGGTGTCTCCTGTTGTTTGTCGTGTCTCCCGGTCGTGTTACGCTGCTCCCTTTGGATCTCTGTTTGGACTACCTTAGTTTTTGGACTCTGTATTCAGCCACTCACCTGTAAGTGTGCTCGCTTTTGGTTTGTTCATTAAAACCCCTTTGTACTGTACCTCTTCCTACCTTGTGTCCTGCGTTTGGGTCCTCCAACCAGCTCAACCCTGCCTCACCCACACCAAACCGTGACACCCTTGTTGTTGTGATATTCTAGAATATCTATTGAAGCAAAATGTTATGTGCAGTGTGATGTCACAGATGTAGTCCAGTAGTTCTTTTTTGTTTTTAATTACATGGCTCCGAGGGATCTGATAATCTTGATATATATATATATAATATATATATATATTACATTACATATATTATATATATATATACGGTACATTTTAATACATTAACTGATTTAGGTTGTTTAAAAAAGCAGTTAACCCAAAATGTGACTCGTTCTACCTGACTTTGCCATAGTAAATATTCTCTTTACATCTAACACAAAAATATAATACATTGGCCTTTGTGTGCTTTACAGCCATTAACTGCGTCTCATATGCTCCACTACTGATCACTACTGAAGTGACAGCACAGGGTTGCAGAACTGAATCTCTGAGGGAAAACAGGTCTTACCCTGAGGCTGAAGGTACATGTATCCCTGTTTATTTTAACACATGTACCTATACATAATTATAGGTTGTTTTAGAGGTTAAGAATATGAGTGCCCAGATTGTACATTGGAGTGAGGACGAACAGTTGGTTGAGACGGAATCTGCCAGTGTTTCTCAATCTTTGGGACCTTTGTTTCGCCACATGATGTTGATTGACCGAAGATGAGCTATCTTCCTGGCATGCTAGTGGTTTTCCTGAGGACCA